GAATTTGAGAATATTTTTTATGAACTCAACATAATATACGAAGGCGAAAAGTTAATTTCCAAGATGTTGGAAATTAACTAAAATCGGTTCTTGACATTATCATTTTGTGATATGATTTTCTTGCAGGCCAATGTTTTATGATGCGTTAGGTGTCAAGTTTCTTATCTAATATTAAGTTTTTATGGCAGAAACTGCTAACTGGAAATAGTTGTATTTGACAAGACACAAAATAGACGTTGAAGTTATCCGAATTAGGATATCGAAACGAATTTAATTTATTTTGCTTCCTTACAAATAAAGCAACACCATGCTATTTTGGTTTATCCTTTCCATTCTTTTTTCCAATTTTTGTTTGATTATCCTTGACTTCCTGCAATTTTAAAAAATTTTCTTGATTGATATTGATACAGCTTTCTGAATTGGGTCTTTAGTTCGAAAACATAATAACTTGATAAGTATGAAAAGCGATCTTAAAGTAACTACCTTTACATGAACTGGTCATCAATACTATCAATTAAATAGTGACGATAGATGGTCATGACCAGTATTGACGCAATGTGATTTCTGCCCAATACCATTGAGAGTATTCAGTCCATCTTTTACATTGTAACGAGAATGTAGAGAGTCAGTTTCTCCCAAGAGAGAAATGCTTAGGTGGTGATTGCGCAGGCAAACCCAACTCACTGGTGTCACTTGATTACACCATTCAAACAACAAAGGTTTCGTCTAGGGATTAGGATCTTCTGAGTTATATTCAACAGCCGTTCACATTAGGTCAGTAGTCCAGAGTTACCTTGAAGTTAAATCGCTGAAAGTTGAGACATAAGAGATTAAATTAGTCTTAGTACAGGATGTTAAGGGAAGTTTTAGCAATAAAAGTCTGCTACGAGAATGTGTGTCTATGTCACTTGATGATACAAATACTCATCATTAAGATCATTACAAAATTGCCCATTCTATCACGTTCAGAGACTATACAACTAATGTTATCTATATTTAGAATAAATAACTTTTTAGTTTTTAAATAACGATGAAGATTAAATCAAAATGATAATAAACTATTCACAAAATTCGCCACTTTAGAATCCATTAATAGACGCACGGTCGACTCCGAAAGTTTCTAGTTTTAATCTAATTTGTAACCATAATAAATGCTTTACTACTTGAATTTCGTTGTTAAAGTGGCTAGCGATAAGGAGGTGAGGAGTTAAATACTGCAGGTCTAAATGACAATTATTAAAATATAAATTGAGGTATTCAAACATTTTTTTGTATTAGATATTTTAAAGAATATAACAGATATATTCTTTTGACTACACTGTATAATCGAATACTGCATACATATAAGTATCTGCATCGATTCTACCTCACAGTCCTCTCGTACATGCATAAACAATCGACGTTTGGTATTACAACGTAGCAAACATGAATAGTCATCAATTGCAATGAGTGTACGTTTCATCGAAACGAGAAAAACCCAAAAACGTGTTCTAGTTCGATGTTATATTATTCTTCTAAATTACTGGACAATCATTATTTACTCTGTTGTCTTTATTTGTGTACCACGCATACTGTGTTAATTAGTTATCGTAACCCACGTGACCTATGCAATATTGGCTGCCTATCTCAATATGTAAGATAATTTTAAATTAGTAACCAGATGTTGATAGGTAATCGAACGTTATTGTTGTGATTGTCGTATGCGTTGTGAGTCCGTATTTTCTTTGTTCTTTAACCATTTTTCTAATTGTTCATTTTAGAACTATCGTTGTTTCTAGCGGTTGCTTTAAGTGATAAGTCAACAAGCAAATCAAAATGACGAAAACGTTCAATGAGATTTTCTTTTAGATTTTCATGTTTTTTCGTTATGGCATTCCCACCGGAACATGTTGCCTTTATTTTAATGGTACATTATCGAAGCGGTACGTAATTCAACGAATGTTTTCTAGACATTAACGTTGATTATGACACTTTTAAGCATAGGAAACTTGTGGTTGTAACTAACTAATTGTCGCCATCGTTTTTAGGAACTTTCGTCGCGTTGCAATACCAATACTGTGATATTAGTTGCATACGTTGTGCGTCAGAAGACGAAACTTTTTCGCCAACTTTTACTATTCTACGAGATATAAATTTAGAAATACTCACATTATATCAATTCACTGCACAGGTTGTCCATGCACATCGTTATCATTGTCAGATCTGTCTTTACCAATTCAAGAGATATCTCTCCAAATCATTCTAACAAATCAAATGTTACTATTTTCATTACCACCTTCTTAAGATAGAGTTTCGAAACGACGAGATGGCACACCAATGGGTACAAGTTCACCGTGTGACACGGAGTTAGCTTTATCAAATCGTATTGACAACAACAAAGAGGGAATATAGATCGAGAAATTGTTGAAATATGTGTTATGTGTTGCTGGTTGCAGATGATGGTTTGTATTAAAAATAATATACGTATATACCGTATGTTAATTAATTATCGTACCCGACGTCATCATTGCAAGTATGCAACCAACTACGCAATTTGCGTGTTACAATACCAATAATGTGATATTGGTTGCATACTTGCAATGATGAGTATGATATAGTTTCACATTTCAATTGAAAAAGAAATGGAAGTCTAAAATATTATGGTGAATAGAGCTCTCGTGGTCTTTTAATAAATGCCAAATCTACGCGAAATCTCCATCATTCAAAAGAGGGGTAAGCTGTAAAGAGGAAAGGGAGAAGCATTAGCAGCTTAAAGAATCCAAAGACCCCCCGTCAGATGACGCCGCTTAATATGGTCGCATGCCGAGTCAGTGGCGTGCAGTCGAGAGGTCCAAATCAGCTTTTGCCATTGTTGCCGATACCGTCGCCGACGGAGGATTTTCGAATCGCGTTCGCAGCCGCAGCACACTTGACGGACTTTTTCGAATGCACCCTCTCGCGTATTTCGATACACATCAGCAGAAATGACGACATTAATATCGTCCCCTCCCTTCTTGCGTTCTTAATAACAAGAGTTTTGCGGAATTAATTTAGGAATTTCGAAATTTTAGGACGAGAATTTTACTGTACATTTAGATGTCACTAGATTTGCGGATATGGGACGTTTATTGTCGGTGGTGTGTCATCGGAAGAATCGCGTTGTATAATTCTCGTAGACGTGGGTAGTGCATTAATGCTGGCATCGTCCAAGATTAAAGGCGCATTCTCGAGTGGCGAGGCGCGCGAAATGAAGCCTTCCTGACGTTGATGATGTGCGTTCTCGACGACAGATGTCGCAATTTTCTTTTCTGCTGGTCGTTTAAGTAGCTTTACTCCAAAGACGTTTTATGTGCCTTTTTTTGTTCATCTCTGTGTTACACAGACTGCAAACGTCGCGCAAGAGCATTTAAAATGTTACCGGTTGGAACAAAAGGAGTTCCGCGATAATTATTGCGACAAAACCACCCTTCAGGTACACGTTTAATACGACGTGTAATACGTAATCAGTCGACATAGTATCTCTTTTGTCTTCTTTGGCCTTTTCAAATCTGTCGAGTATGTAATATTAAATTTTTTTAAATCTAAAATATGATGCAGTTAAAAAAAGAATTTTGAACGCTAAACATTAATAAAAGGACAAAGTTGCAAAGTTTACTCCTTAATTATTTCTAGATAATTTGGTCGCAGCTGTCCTTGTTAAGAACCCTGGTGTACCGAAATCCTTCTTACCCCCAAAATTAAGCAACTTTTTCCCTGTTAAGCCGGCTCCCTGGTTTACTTACTTCCGGCAAATTTATCGCCCACTTAAAACGAACCGCAAAGACAAAAGAAGCCTTAAGATAATTATTCAAATTTCATAATCGAAAAAAGAAATCAATTTTGACAATAGTCTATATTTTCAAAAAAATGTTTCCTGTTACTATAAAAGTAACCATCAAAACGCGTTATCACAACTTGCACTTAATAAATACAGCACGTTTTAGAGTCACCCCAAAAAAATATTTATCATAATTAGTACATCCCATAACAGTTTAAAAGGGGGCGGTTTTCGGGTTCAGGATGGTCCTCAACGGTAAAGGTATATTCTGAATCTGCCCTCGGGCAGTTTTTTATAAAAAGTAATTCCGCTGATAACGCCGTTGATATGCTCTCGCGTCGATTAGGCTGCCCGCTAATGCCCGACCATAGCGACATCTGCGACCACGTTCTCATTTTCAACCCTCTTTTCGTCTCTCTCATACCCTTCGAAAACCATTTCTATTCTTGCTTTTAATGTTTTCTCTTTTTTGCTGGTTTTACTTTGTGTTTTAGTATTAAATGTAACCGGAAGTGGGAAATAAAAAAAATATAAAGCATACAAAATAGAGCTTATTAAAGAGAAATCGTTAGCATTTTTAATTTTGGTGGAGGAGCGGGGAAATAAAATCGGATACATAATTGTTATTGTGATGGTGAAAAGACGTTGATTTAATTATGGGGCAACGTGATACCCCACGACAGAACCATTTTCCTTATGCCACCTTGTCCTGTACGAGAATAATCACTCACTGAAATTAATAAAGCTGCCTACGAGTTGAGTTTGCGGTCGCGTCCGTTAGAGGGCCAACGAAAAAGAAAATAAAAAAGTGGCGCGCAGGAATACGTTTTAAAAGAGCAATACTATATAGGGTTGCACTTCCTGTTTTCCCCCACCACGTCATGAACTACGACGACGGTTTTGGGTAGGGGGTACATGATATGATTATGATCCCGGGTTGCTTGGCAACGGGGAGCTTTCATCCCCACCACAGGTATAAAAGCTCGGAGTGCATCCAGAAAGGTTCAATTCGCGTATAACGCGTCGCAGGAGGTGTACGTTTTCCTCCACGATTTCCGTTTTTCGAATAAGATTCAAGTTGACAATTTTTTGTAACTGAATTATCTTTTTTGATTTTTTAAGTTCATTTTAACGCGACTTTTCGAGTGATTTTTAAGTTTGGTTTTGTACAATGTGGTTTTTAATTTTTAAAATAATAATAACTGCGTGTGTGATCTATTTTTAGATAGACTGTTTTCTTTTTTTTTCTTGAAGATTTTCTCCTTCAGTGTTACATCAAACTCAAAAAGAAAGGTAAGGTTCTTTTTAATGTGATTTGAGCGAAAAATGCTTTTTTATCATCAATTTTATCTCGAGTTCTTAGTAATAATTTTTTTACGCAAAAAATATCTATCATAAAAACATTTATAACGCTTTAAAATTAATGTTTAGCGTTTTCGTTTTGAAAAAAAAAAGCGAAGTAAATTTAAAATATAGCCGCACTTAAAGCGATACGTATGCCGGAAAATATGAAATAAAACTGACTGTTTTTCATTAATCTAAATGAATGCCGTGATATTTCATTCGTTATATGACATTTTGCGAAAAAAACGACACAAATTTAGTTTTTTATAAATGAGCTGTGCATCATATCGCTAAATCATCACAATAACTATTTGAAGTATCGATTGTAAAAGCCTAAATGTCTTTTTTCTTTTGAAAGTTAAATTTTGATGACACATTTTTTGTAACCCTAAATGCAAATGAGAAAAGTATTTAAAATTCGTGAAAAGTATTTTAAAATTTTCCCCAAACCCTCTTTTCACCAATAAGGGTGAAATAAATCCTGCCATCCAGCGAAAGGGTTCTCTACAGGACTTTTAATTAATTTCACGTCAGCACCCGTTCAATAATGATCTGAAATTTGCCTTAAGTACTTTCGCGATCTGAATATCAAGTGACTTACAAATCAACCTTCGTCGTTGTCCGCGTCCAAGGGAGAAAAAGCATCTTGTGGATTATTAAAATTGAAAAGGGTTCGTGTTCAATCTACGCCCTATTACAAGACTCCCCCTTCGCGATAAGAAATACATTCGTTCTTATCGAGTTTTCCGACTTTTCGCTGAGAATAAATAGGCCATCAATAACTTTTACGTTTTTCTCTTTTTATTTAGTTCCTTTTTTTGTGCTCACGAACTAATCATTTCTCTCTGCGTTTCGTTTCCATTCCGGGGTCCAGTTAAATTCTGTTCCTTTTTAAAAAGTAAATTGAAACCCAGTTTTATCTGCTGGTTGGGGTATTGTATACATTGTATAGCAACCGGCGTCGAGCACCCGGTAACTCAACCCCATACCTTGTTTTTTTTTCTCGTTTAATATTCAAACGTGAGCTTGCATCTATTTTGTTTATCGCATTACCCCTTTTCAAACATAAAGTATAAATTTTATTTAATACAGTTTACTTTATACCCTAATAGCTTTTAACGATATTTTAAAATCGTTTTTATTCGAAAATCAAAATCTGTGGGGTTCTTCTCTAAAACTTTTCTTTTATTCATTTCACCCACATTCTGTTCCCAATATAGCTGGCTCCCCTTTAATACGGGACGCATTTCAATTGAAGAAGTGGTGCGCCATCTAGAGGCGAACGCCCCGCGGCGGTCGTATTCAAATGAGAGAAATCAACGTTTCGACACTGGTGGCAATGCAGACCTAACGAGCGGTCCCGGATTCTCCGGTGAGGAAGACAAATTGCGTCAGATATGACGTGACAGGTACAATTTGCGGAATAACTTTATATACGGGGTGAATACATGAATGATAGACTCCAAGGAAAAAAGATGAGGGGGAACTGTAAGTCCGAGGGATTACTTGTCAATATATTTTCACAAGAAAATCCTCAAAATAAAAAATAAATTGCATCTGTCTTTTGTATATTCTACTTTTGTAACAATGTTTAAACACAAGTGACGTGAACGTAACCTAGTTTTGTTAGGTTAGCGTGTAGATGTTGCTGTGGGGAGAATTAGTTCCGGACTCCGTCTGCGTAATTGAATTACGGTTTGCTCTCGCCGTGCGGAATTGGTAGTTTCAGGTGGTGGCGTGGTTCAAATTGAAATATCGCACCCGATAGTGGACGTCGTTTTCGGAGATTGCGGCGCGTTTTACTTCCATCGCACCGATGATATAAAGATGGCAATCGGGCAATATCATGCGAACGAAGCGCCGTTACCCACACCATGTCATTTATTTAATAGTCCACAATGTCAAAAACCAACGTAGCACTAAATATAAAAGTATTTCAATAGCCATTACGAAATTCAACACACTATTTATACAGATTTATTCTTCAAATATAATAGTGTAAGTTTAATTTCACATTTCACATCATATGTTGTTCTAAGATGTATGTACTAACATTCTGACATCAATTTCTAACATTTTGAAAAAGGTTGGATACACATCTTCTTCATTCCTTAGCATATGGAAAAACCATTATATATTCCTTCATCTCATCTACTATAAAATTATCCCAATAAATTCTGAGTCTCATTTAGACCAATATCAAAAAGCTTTGAAACAAATCTCCCTCATATGCTTGATACAAGTAATAAAATTCTTACTACAAAAGATCAAGTTTATCTTTATCTATGCAGAGCATATAATACGAATCTTCTCTGGGTTTTCTAAATAATAACATTATGAGTAATTAAAACCATCGTAACATAGCGAAAATTTGTCACAACACTTCAATTAGAAAATTACCAAACATGGCATGAACTACCCAATAATTACCTTGAGTACGTCCCCTAAAGATTTCTGGTTGATAAGGTCATCGATGTCTAGTTTTATTTCTTTTGAATGGGTATCCTAAACTAAATTAAATATCTTTTTCCAGAAAAATGGGAGCTGATCTCAACCGATGTCAATTTATAGAAAAGATAATCTGTAAAGGTTTTTAGAGGGTGATATAATTAAGAAAGATTGTGTTGGGTTGCTGATGTTATAAGCAAAAAAACAACGATGTTATTGATAACCATCAATATTACCAAAATGTCTGATTTTAATGAAAAACGTTAAAGAAGTAAAGTATTTAAAAACAGATGCTTTAAATGAATGTGACGCAATGAAATAGAGAACTCGTAGTAAAAAAACATTGGTGAACAGTTTAATGAGAGACAGAATATTGATCAATGTCAATTTACCATTCTTAGCGAAGCGGAATGTTTGATGAACGGACAAATATTGACGTTGATCCAAACGTGGCTAATCCGCCGATTACAAGCAATTTGAATGAATCCTTGTTACAAGATAAAGCGAAATTAGCAGAAATAAAATTGTTGGAGTTTCTGGGAAAATGTAATGTGAAATTATGATTTAACAATTGATAAAAGAACCAAGTGTGATAATAAACGAACAATTTTCCACAAAAAACAAATATTGACTTGATCATGATTTAACCAGAATTTTCTGCCTGAAATTCAAAGTCTGAACTGCTTGGATAAGAATATGTGCGTTGTGATATCTTTGTTATACACTTTTAGCAGAAGATAGTAGCGTATTCATTTTCAATGGCAATTGTAAATATTATCAAGATAAAAAATTAAAAAAAGAACACTAATTCCTTCATATCAGTTAACTCATATTGTAGATGTCGAATGTGAACCTATGTATTAACTATATTTATTGAAACAGCAAATATTGATACCTTTTTTTGGCTCCTTCGATATAAAGAGTAAATATTCTTTGATAGTTATATCTAAAAGATAAATCACATGGGGAAATAACTGTCATATATAGCTGTGAAAAAACATTCAAGAAAAAATGCTTTAGTCCAAAAAGGAAGTGTATCGCGAAGAAAATACTCGGACAATGATTATAAAAATTAGTTATTGTTGTGACCATCTTTTCAAAATGATCTTTTGACAATATAATTTAGATTCAGACAACACAATGTTGAACAGTAATACTTACGGTAGAAATTTATGAAATAGTAATTCTGGGAAATCATAAGATGTTGAGCTTAATGGTGTTATATGAGGAGCTAGCTGTAATAGTGCATTCAAAATTGGATATTTATATCTTATTGTTCAACCCCCCCCATTCACTTTCAAAGTCGTCTACCATTTGATATCCTTTTATGCAGTTATTAGAATGGAATGAGTTGGTTCGTTATCAAAGGCCAAACATTTCCAAAAAACTTGATGAATATAAGTTAAATCCTTTATATTGATGGACGTTGGAGCTGATACAAGATCTATTTTTTTAGTTCCTGTTCACCCTAAAACTTCAGAGATCAGTTACTCGTATATTGCCTTATAATATAAGACTTCTTCCCACTAAAATTCAGACAGGAGTACAAAAATTGCTTTTAAAAAAATACATTTATATTGTTAGCTGCTTGCAATTTTTTTGGACTTTTCTATCGTCATGAGTGGGAGCTTGTTTATCCGAATCAATTAGCATTTCAACATGTAGTGACTATAATTCATTCTTTATTGTCATTGAAACGTTGCCAACAAAGTAGGTCTCTGTGCTAAAATTTGTTCTGCAAGGATTTCTTTGTATTTATAAATTGTAAATTACAAGACATTGTTATAATTTCTTACATATTAAAGTTAATTATTGCTTGGAAAATTCTTCGCACATCGCGATACATTCCTAATCACATCACATCCTAAAAGCTAACAATCCGAAAAGAGAATTACTTTGGTGTTGCCAAAGATTTTGAATTGCCTCAATAGCATCTGTTCAAACTATACTATACCTCTCTATAATCAAGTTAGGTAGACTCGGCTACATTTGACCAGAAAGAGCAGTATTGTTGTAGTTGTTCCATTCTGGTAAACCAGAGGAATTATGTATTAATTTAGAAACCTATGTTAGACCACTTGGATGTAAACTAATTTCAGTTAGTGCTACCACTATATTTACCTTAAGTATTGGTCCAAATGCTGACAACTTAGTATTTGGATTCAAAAGTTAGCCAACTTTTTATATGAACTATTTTAAGTTACGGATAGGCGCCCAAACCCAACCCAGCAATTAATAAACTTCTTAGATAAAACATTTAATGAACTCAATATAAGTGGTATGAACGAGCCAAATTACGTAGTGTACCAAGCCGATGAAAAAAAATTACTTTTTGACTAACCATTACCAGCCCATAAGTGATGATTGTTCTGTTTAGCATTATTTAATTCTTCCTAATTGAATCCAGTGTTTCTCCAAAGCCACACACACATGGACTTTACTGGGAGATTCCTATAGATAATTAACGTTTTTTGAGCTATAAGAGTTAAGTTTCCAATTTT